CCCACATTAAATGGGGTCAGAAAAATGAGAGAATGAGGAAAATAGCATGTTTAGTAAAATGTTTAGTAAATTATAACGTATGTTTTTAAAATAATAAATTATAGCATAATTTGATATCTCTTTTGAATATGGGAAGAGGGCAAGGGGCTTAGAGGCAGAATGAGTAAGGCTGCATTTGGTAGTGATTTTTGGAGCCCAAAATCAATTCTCTAACCAGCCAAAACTGTTATTTGTGTTTAATAAAAACTTAAAAAAGTGATTCTTAAAGAATTTTAAAAAAATTTAAGGCTAAAATCACAAACAGACCATAGGCTATTTCTAATTCTAGTGCGGCAATCCATGGCTAGCAATTAATGAAACTTTTAAATAGACCCTTTATACCCCTGCTGAATGAAAAACAAAATCCCATACCCAAAATTTCCCCTTCTCGGTCTCTTGCTTCTCAAACCTCTCTCTCTATTCTCTCGTCGGTCTCCCTCTCTCTCTCTCTTCGTGCTCTCTCTCTCTGTTTTTCTCTCTTCTCTCTCTCTGAATCCGGTCGCGGTAGACGGAGGCGGTGTTGTGTTGTACTTGGTGACAATATCGGTCTCCTTAGGGATGTCATACTGAGCGAGGAAGGCGTTGAGCTTGTCGTTGCTGCCGGACTCCATCTTCTTGATCTGGATCTCAGACCATGAATCCATGGTGATGGATCGGACGAAGGAGATATGGACGCCAAGGTCGCGGTGCTTGCCGGAGCACTCCAAGCACATGAAGACGCCATAGGAGACGGACGCCCAGGGCGGATTCTTCTGCGAGCAATCGACGCAGATCTTGTTCCATGGCTGCGATTGCAGATCCCGAAGCCGCCTCGATGCCACCATTTCTCCTCTCCAATCCAATTAGATCGATCTGAATCCAATTACAAATTGCATCAGAAATCAGAAAATAAAAAGGAAATAGAAGAGATCGGAGAATCAAGGAATTGATTTGTAGAAAGGAAAATAAAAAATCGAAAGAGAAAATGAACCCAGAAAATTAACAGGGAAAATTGGCTTGTGTTGAGGAGAGGAATGAGAGATCACAGACACGCAGCGTTAATCCGTTAGAGAAACATAAGTGTCGTTGAACGCACTTTTTGTGTGTGGAAAAGAACAGGAAAATATGAAAATTTTGAGAGACATGTTTAATTGTTCATTTACAAAGCAAAGCAAGTAAAAATAGTTACTATAATGGTGTTCCATAACTATATTAAGAAGCATGTTAAGTGTGATCGATATTTTTAAAAAGTTACAGATAATTTAGATGGTTTAGTTCATGAAAAGAATTAACTAGAGGATAATATAGAAGAAAATCAAGCTACTAGTGCTTTACTATCACAAGAAATGGATGAAGTTTGAGATCAAATTGCTATAAGTTTAACGAGCACTATTTAATTTGCAAAATGACTATACCAGTTTTTGAGAATGGAATGTGTATTTTATCTCTACCTTTATGATAAATTAGATTGTATATGTTGATTACTCACTGATACTCATTTTTGTTGTAACTACATATCGTCAATGAAGAAATGAAAAAAAAAATTATTATAAATTTAAGGATTAATTTCAAAAATTCCCCATAAACTATGACCATGTAACACTTTGCCCCCCGAATTTCAAAATGTAACATCCGCTCCCTCCGAACTTTATTCCGTTAACAAGTTTTCCCCTTCTGTTACAATGAGTGACGAAATTCACCACGTATCACGTAAATGACCCATATGAGGAGAGTATTATCATAAAATACCCTTCAAAAACCCTAAATTATTAAAAAATGATTAAAAAACTCAAATGCGTAAATAAAAAAAGGATTAATCTATTACAACATACCCTTCCTTCGCCTCCATTCCATGTAGCACATTTGATTTCTCCTCCCATGGGAGCAGTGATGAATGCACCAACCACCATAACAAAAAAAAAAAATAGAGATACACAAGCAGCCTTCGCTACATCTCCATTAAGTGTAATATCTCAAGCTGAAGTCCTAAAAAATTATCATATAAGAACAAATACTTTGACGCACAAAGGAAAACAAAAGGCAACTAAAAAAACCCCATAGCAAGCAACGACCCAACGAAAGAAAGGAATAAGAGAGGGAAAAAAAAGAAACAGAACAGGTAATGAAAGAAAGCCCATCACTCTATGAATGTGCATTAACATCTAAGCTTTGATTAGAGGGTTTAACGGAATCCAAACATTGTCTACACAGAAATCCAAAGGGAAAAAAATAGGCATAACCAAATTAAAGCAAGAATTTCAACATAGAACGAACCAACATCCTACAATAAAGAACGAAGAAAAGTGAGAGATCCAAACCATAAAAAGTAAAAAGCCTCCACGACTGAGTATGGGAATAGGCGTGCTGGAGAAACTGGGAGAGAATGAGAGGGCAATGGAACAAAGATGAACGAGGAACTCGCCATAGATGAACGAGGTGAGGAAAAAAAAGAACTGATTTTTGGGAACGAATATGATGAATTTTGTTGATATATGTAACATCAAAGACTAGTGATTTTGAACAAAGATAGGTATAAGCGTCATTGTACTTTTAAATCTCACTAAATAATGGACACATGGTGAATTTCGTCACTCAGTGTAATGGAAAGGGCAAAATTGTTAACGGAACAAAATTCGGGGGGAGCGGATGTTACGTTTTGAAATTCGATGGGTAAAATGTTACAAGGGTCATAGTTTAGGGAGAATTTTTGAAATTAATCCTAAATTTAATGTTAAAAAACTCAGCACCAAATTATGTTTTTTTTTAGTTAACAAGTATTTCTTAATAACAAACAAAACAATATATATATATATATATATTTAAATTTCATACCATGTATTTTGGTCATCTTAATTATCTACAGCAATTCAACCTCATAATTTACCAAACGCTATTACACTGCTTTTAGAACCAGAACACTTATATAATTACAGTTTACTAAACACTTAGCTGCTTTTTCTTTTAACACAGCTAAAAGTAATTTTTTCAAAATCTACAGCACTACTAAACTATTATGGAAAATTTTAATTTTTATGGCATTGAAGATAAAGTTTTAACCATTACTTTTGATAATACATCAGCAAACATAACTAATATCAACACATTCAAAGCAAATTTGAAACCACATTTTAATGGAGAATTTTTTCATCAACGTTGTGCATGTCATATCATAAACTAAGCTAGTATTGAAACTATATCCCATCATCTAACTAAAATTAGAGAGGTGTTATCTTTCATCTCTAGTTCGGGAGCTCGGCTCCAAAAATTTCGCCAATATTGCAGGAATAACCAGATGAGGCCAATAAAGTTTCCAACAGATGTTCGACATAAGTGGAACTCCACCTACTTAATGTTGAAAACTGTTATTCCATATTAACAAATAATCACTATATATGTGAACAGTAAGCATGAGAGCATTTTATTTATGATACAGATTGGAAGATTGGTGAGTGCTTTTTAAAATTTTTAGAAGTATTCTACAATGCTACTAAATTACTTTCTGGTGTGTATTATCCTACTACTCATCTTACTTTGGATCAATTATTTAATATTTCTGAAACATTTGCTTATTAAATGAAATGGAAAGAAAATTTAAAAGTTATTGGGCTAGTTGTTCTATTTTTTATGCATTAGCAACAATTTTAGATCTTAAATGTGGATAGATGGGACATAATCTTTGATGTATGCTACAACAAATAACTTATCTATTGATATGGAACTAACCATTAATAATGCAAGGTGTTAGAACAATTGTTTGCATTGTATGAAAAAAATACAGAGCAAGACAACAACAACAGTCAACTTCGACGTCAAAGAGCAGTTCGGGGCCTAAAGGTTCATTGTGGAGCTTCTTGAGGAGAAAAGAGAAAGCATCGAGATCATTATCAACACATGGACCGTCTTGAGAACTTGTCAAATATTTTGAGTCAAATTTTATAATTGATGACGACAAATTAGACATCTTACAAGTGGAAGAACAAGCAATATCGTTTTTCAACATGATCCATTATAGCATATGACATTTTGACAACTCCATTATCCACAGTAGCATCAAATCAAGCATTTAGTGCAAATAATCAAATTCTTGACGATAAGAGAAGCATAGTGTAGCTGGATTTCTTGGATGGGCTAATGTGTGTGAAAGATCGGGAAGATGCAAGAAGACGAAAATAACATTATACAGATGATACCCTTCTAGACTATTTTTCAAACTTAGACATAACAGAATCTTCTGGAAGTAATTCGGCCACAGTGTAATTTAATTATCATTGTATACTGCATTCTTTTTTCTTTCACTAAGGTTTTGTCATGATCTCCCTACGGGTTTTACTTTGATTTTCGCTAAGATTTTGTCATGATCTCCCCACGGGTTTTACTTTATAAGGTTTTTAATGAGACAATTATTTATTTGTACTTATTCATATTATTTCAAATCAATAAAATCATAATCTTTTGAGGGTATATGATATATTTTCTTTTTTTCATTAAATATGATAACAAATGCGAATTCAGTACAATCCGATCGACCGGTGCATGCTCAACAGTTATAAATTAGACTGTTGAGTTTCATCAACTTGAAAAGGGCAAGAGCCGGCTCGTGAAAGGCCTGGACTCGGACTCGGGCCTAACCCTGACCCTTATGAACAAAGACCGGGATTAGAGTGGGGCTTGAGGAAAGACCCTCAGGCCCGATCCAGACACGATTGTACTGTACAGGGCGACCCAAATACGATTTTTTTTGACATCTCTAGGAGGGGGCAGTCCCTCAAATTCAAAGTGGGGGACTGACCAACTAAAGAAGAGCTCAACTTTTTTACTTCTCACTCGAGGGCTTTGTAAAAATAACTTAATAGAAAAATTTTATTAGTAAAATAATTTTTTAAAAATTTTTATTTGTAAAATGACCACTTTTATAAAAAATAATTAAGTGGTTATTTTTTATAAAAAATAAAAAAAGTCATTTTGTTAATTTCACTTTGTTGAATAATCATTCTGGCCTTCTCACTCTCAAATTTTCTCTCGTCCCAATCAGAAGACAATTTCTCCCTCAAATCTCTCTCCCCCCTCATCAGATCATCAATTACTCTCTCTCTCTCGGAACGCCATTATCGCCGAGCAACGCACTGAACGAGCAGATCTGACAGTCGTGATCCCATTCTGTGTTGATCACCGCCGTCGATCCGTTGCCTCCATTGCCGATTCTTATCCATCGACGTATGTAGTTCTCTCTCTGTCTCTGTTCTGTGTTAACCGTCGCCGCCAATTCGTCGCCTCTGCCGCCGATTCGTCGCCATCGCCGGTTTATCATCTCCGAGTCGGCGATTCATCACCTGTGCTGGTTCATTGCTTCCTCTGTTGATTTTGTGTTGGTCGCTGCCGCCGGTTCGTTGCCGTTTCGTTTGTAGTACTCTTACACTCTGTCGCCCTCTGTTTTTGTGCTGATCGCCGCCTATTTCAGGTATTTTCATCACTAACCCTAGTTCTCTCTATTGCGCAGAGCTTCTACTCGGCTAAAATCAAATAGTTCTGATTTGTTGATCAGCGCTAAAGAGGAGCAAATAAGTTATCAAGGTAATAAATAGTGGTCTATATAATATATTCCTCATTGATCTTGAGAAATTTTTTTCTGGTAGATTGAGTATTGTGTTTATAAGTACATGTTTGTAGTTAGAATTTTGTTATGTTGTTGTAAACCAAGTGAATTTGATTCTGCATTCTTGGCTTGGTTTATTGAAATCGGAAATTTACTAAAGGAGCGTATTAACGTGTTCTTCATCGGAAACATATTGACTTTTGCAGTGTTCACTAATTTGAGTTATCTTATCGGAATTATTGTTCCCTATTTTAATTTCATGGGCTAAGAGTGTGTTGTAAACTTGGAACAAAGAAACTCATACATTAGAGACCGTAAAGTCTAGTTCATCAGAACCATAATTCTTTGTTTCTGCTGTTGCAGAAGTCAAGTTGGTTGTTGTGAAGCCATGATTGGGGTTGGCAAGATCAAGCAATACTCTAACGTCCTCGACAAGCCCCTCAGCAAGGGCAAACAAGAGCCCCCTTTTCCCTCTTTCCCTTTAACTTCTTCTGGGTTCCTTTCACTTCATTAGTATGTTTCTGTTTTTCGAAGTTTCTCTGCATTTTCTCGGCAACCAAACAGGGTTTTGCATTGATTCGATATCAAAGTGAATGACTTGCATACTTTGGTGAATTGGGTAGCAAAAAGTCGAGTAAAACAACAGATATCTGAAACTGTTTTATAATGGAAAGTACTCGTGCTCAGACAAGCTATATTCGAGGCTGGGATTTATGTTGGTGATGATTTGGGCGTTTTTGATTGGGGATTATGTGCAAATTTGCTGATTTTTTGTTTTTTATTGAATTAAATGGTTGTTTCAGGTGAGTTTGAGTGCCTTCGCGTTCTTGTTTTCAGAGCTTGTGCAGTACAATCAGACACAAGTTGACAACATTGCTGAGTTAGAACGGAGGTGATTTAAATTTTCTTGTTTTTATGGTTATTTTCAGCTATAATCTTGGAATTACGCCTGGGTGCATTTAGAGAATCCAAAAATTTCAAATATGTATTTGTTGATTGCTTCTGAAAGTCTGATTCTATTGACTATTGAGTGTCGAGTTTGATTGATATTTATTGAAAACTGAGCAGGTTGGAGGACGCAGGTTATGCGGTTGGTGCTCGAGTTCTAGAACTGCTTTGCCATAGGATAAGGTACAATAATACTTTGTTGGTGTTCTACTAATGACGTACATAAGCCATTCATGACTTTTGGTTTAGTATGGGGCTCTTTGCCCCATTTTTGTAATCAGTGGGAAATGAAAAGTTGTATTTTGAGTTTTAAAACGTTGGATGTTATAGCTGTCCAATGTTTATAAATTATTCGAGTATAGCATTCATTTTGCTTGTAGCCTGGTACTAAATACACACACTTTCAAAGGGGGAAAAAAATAAAAGTAGTTGTATACATAGATTTTTGTTCAAGTTCTTATTTTGGAGCATGAATATACAATCTGGTTTGGAAATTATGGGAAAATTGCAGCAATTTAAAACAATATCTCGATGTAATCTAACTGCCGGATCCTTTTATCTTCTATCATGTGCTTAGCATGTGAGTTGGCTGTATGCCATTATCTAGGTTGAAGATGGAAGAAATTGTACATGAACATTTGTATGCCTTAGCGGCATATTTGAGCACTCCTTTGCTATTTGGCAATGCTATCCTCGTTTGTTAGGGTATATAACTCTTGTGTTAACTTCATAAAGACTTCCAGTAGGTTGTAGCATTGTATTCGAGACATGTGTTCTGTGAGCTTTCATGGGTTCTTTTTACCCATTGTAAAACTAGGATGCTTTTGATATTGCAGGGAAATAGAAGGGAGACACGGCTGCTGGGTATTCTATCTTTTGTGCACAGCACCGTATGGAAGGTGTTATTCGGGAAGGTGAGAGCTTCTTCTTTGCCATTTCCTTGAATATTGTTTATATATGGGTGCAGTGGTGAAATAGACATGCAAAAAAATATTCAGTTATACACACATTTCATAAGGGGGATATCTACTTAATGTTGTAAATAATTTACTTTTCTTTTCTAGTAGCAAGTTGTGATTGTCCTTTAGTGAGCTAAGTTGCGATGCTCGGCTCTGATAGTTCCTTGTGTATTTACAGATTCACATGTATATAAATATGCATAGGCCAAAAATTTCTTACTTTTGGTACTTTCCTTACCAGCTTCTCTTTTGTGGTCGATTAGGTAGCTGACTCGCTTGAGAAAGGCACTGAGCATGAGGATGAGTACATGATTAGTGAGAAGGAGCTTCTTGTGAACAGGTAATTGTGTTTCCACTGATTCTGCTATTATAACAGCTAGTTGGTGCTGGATTGTAAAATACGTATAATTTTCAGCTAATTCAACCATCATTTGGGTTGTAGATTTATTTCTATCCCAAAAGACATGGGGACATTTAATTGTGGAGCATTTGTTGCTGGAATTGTTAGGGTAAGTGCTTCATTTTCCTTTTTTCTTATTGAATAATCATCTGGTGGGTTTTAAAAACAATAATAATGATAATTATTATAATGACCTGGTGGTTAAGGTCTCTTATTAGCAAGTTCTTTTTCGTTTGCAGGGCGTTTTGGATAGCGCTGGTTTCCCGGCTGTGGTGACAGCTCATTTTGTTCCCATAGAGGGTCAACAAAGACCTAGAACAACCATTTTAATAAAATTTGCAGAAGAGGTAAATAACAGTTTTTGTTTTCTATTATTTTCTCCTTTGTTAGTCCACCTTTTGCATTGGGTCAGAAGTTCTGCGGTACTGGTTTCTGGAAATTTCTTGATTAATGATAAAGTCAAAGATACAGTCATTTTGTACTCGCTACTGGACATGAGTTCCCACAAAAGAATAGCTAGGACATGAATTAGAAGCTTTAAAATGTAATAACGATTAAAATATTAGGTCTTTAAGCATGATTAATAGATAGCCGTTATTAGGATAGGCTGGAGTTGTGATACTAGTGGGGATTTAGAAAGGATAAATACAAAACATCCCGTCTTTGATCTAATTATGGCATTCCACCTTATGTTTTCAGGAATGCTGGACCTATCCCCTACGTTTTACAAACCATGTTAAAAACCTCCAAAGAAGGGATTTTTTAACACGACTCGATTCCCTCTAGAGGTTTTTAACAAGATTTGTAAAACGTAAGGGATACTTTTAAGTTTTAACATGTTTGTAAAACAAAGGGATAAATGCAATATTGTTGAAAACATAGGGTGGAACATAACATTTTGAAATGGTGGGGAGGTTTCTGTTATATCCCAATTCAAACTGTGTCATAAGACTTTTTAACCTAATTTTTCTAGGATAATAACTATATGGCTCTGCGAATAATTTTGTTATAATAACTAGTGTGCGCTTGAGTGGCTTTCAAACTATTTAGTGCTGCTACTATGAACCCTATTATATTTGTGGTTTATCTTTCATCCAATTTTTTTTATATTTTTTTATTTGTCGTTGCAAGAAGATATCTATAAGATCTCTAGATATTGTTTTCTTTATGTGTTAGTTGCAACCTCTAAGAACTAATATGTCCAAAGTTATTCTTTGTTTGATTAGCGTGCTGCATAATCTGATGTTCAACGCCTCTATCTATGAATGTGTGATGCATCTCGCAGGCTTGCGTCTTTCTTTATGAGACCCTAGCATATTGGGATAAAAAATGAATGTTTCTCACCATATAGCTTTTTTTTTCAGCAGGTTCAATTAGGTTCTGCTTGACGCGAGTCTCTTTTACCTGTGTTGTCTCAACCTCAGCTCAGCATCCCATTACCATTTAATTTACCCGCATTGCTAAACGAAAGTCTCTGTTTTATCTTTTCAATCGTTGGCCTGTATTTTCTTTTCTCGCCTCGCTCACGTTGAAAAATCGGTTTTCTCTCCAGGTGCTAAGAAGAGAAGCAAGGTTAGGTTGAGTTTGTGCCAAAGATGATCTCATGTTGTAGTTGTTTTCAGTGCTCCACAAGATTACAAAAAGGACGGTGAATGGTTTTTAGCTGATTATTTCTGGGTTCCATTTGTGAAACATATATAATAGTCATACTTGTGACAAATTCAAATCTCCAAAGTGATTTAATTAACTCTATTCTGTTCAAACACGGCACACTGCTGACCTGAAACAGAAAGAATTATCTAGGTTGTGTGTGGATTGTGATATTTATTTATTTAGCATTAGCATTTATATAAAAAGAGAAAAAGGATGCTCCATTGCTTTCAAATGTTTCAACTCTATTGTTTGTGTTTAGACCCCACTATGTACAAATACAAAAGTAGTAAAAAAAGAATATACGTAAACAAAAAGTAGGTTTTCTGTTCCCCGTTTTCTTGGTTCTCAGTTCTCACCTAATGCTAAAAGGGAAAATCTCAAAATCATCCCATTTATTTGTTGATAAACTACTTTTGTCTCTCAAAACGTCTCGAAACCGGTTTTTAATTTATCAAATTTTTTGAAGGAGTCATTTTGTGAATCGACCATTAAGGGTCTGTTCGAAAAATATATTTGAACTATGATTTGAGTTTTGATTTAAATTTTTTGTGAGAGAACTATTGGTGGAATTTTTTTATTCAAATTCTTTGTGTCAAGAAAAATATTGCATGGTTTGAGTTTGACTATATGTACTAAACAACCCTTAAAAGCTCGGTGTGCGAGGATAGTGTGAGATTTAGGGTGTTTGGTAGGAGGGGTTCTAGGAAGGTTGGATTGGGGTTGAGGGAAAGGTGAGAAAGGAAGGATTGGGTCATTCCTTTACTTGGTAGGAGGGGTTGGACTGAGAGTGTGTTTGGTAAGAGGGAGTAGGGCTGTAAGAAATTGGGCTGAATCTGACTAACCCGGCCGACCTAACCCTGCTCTACTCAAAATTTCCCGTTTTTTTTTTTTATATCGGATTTATAACTTGCTAACCCGTACAGTGCAGGTAGGGGTGCGGGTGGAGAAGTTAGAACCCGTACTTGATCAATCAATACATGTTATTTCAATTATATATATAATACATATATTATATATTAATTAATAATCACACATAAACCCTACATATAAAATGCATTTTCTCTCCCTCACTCATTTTTCCACCGCCTCACTCTTGAGCCTCCCTCCGTCTTTCATTCTTCTCTCCAACCCTATTCTAATTTATCTAAAGCAGCCATTTTCCTCCAAATTCTTCTTCATATGTCGAAGATTCAAACTTGGAAATGCTCCAGAACTGCTTTAAGAGCTTTTGTTTTTGTGATTTTGCTTTTCTTCTTTCTCGAAATCTAAAGCAGCCTTTTGTACTTTTTTTTTCATTTTTATTTAGGTTGTTTTTTTTTTTTTTTTTTTTTTTTTTTTTTTGGTTTTTTTTTTTTTTTTTTTTTTTTTCTTTTTCTTGAGAGAGACGAAGAAGAAGGAGGTGGCAAGAAGCATTTACTGTTTAGTGAAAGGTCAGTGCTTTTTTCTTTTGATTTTTGGAAAATGACTTGCTTTGTTAATCTCCTTCATGCATTGCTATGTTCATATAATTTGTTATATGGTCCTGCTTTGTAACTTGGTTCCTCAAGTTGTTTATTCTCCTTGTTTTTTCTGTGCAGAGAGAGATAACCCCAACCTGCATGGACCCTGCCGACCCTACCCGAGCCGATGTGGCCCGAAGAAGTGCGGGTTTTTGGGCCCAACGGGCTGTTGCGGCCCATAGTTTTCCCAACCCGCAATATGTGGCTCGGCCCAAATTTAGGCTAAACTCGACCCTACCCGGCCAAGTTAGAGCCCTAGGAGGGAGAGATGAAGGGAGGGAAAGACCCGGGGGAAGAGGATAATTTCATTGTTTGGTTGGATGGATGAGAGGAGTGAGAGGAGAGATGGAGGGAGAGGCTCTCTTTAGGGCCCCACAAATTTGGATCATTCTTAATTTAAAAGAGAAAATTATAGATTCTATCTTTTTAAATATTTAACTTACTAAAGTACCCGTTTTAAAAACTCTATCTCTTAACTAGTTCTAGTCTAAAAAGTAGAAATATATGAATTAATGTTAAGTAGTAGAAATAAAAAAGAACTCCATTTCAAGGAGTATTTTTCAAATTTTCTCTTAATGGAAGGATTCATTAAATCCCTTAAATTTTAAATTAAAAGTCTATTTTACATATAAAAGAAATTATTATCCAATAATAAAATGGACAATATAATAATTGAACAAATAGTTATTATTCATCCTTTTAACTCTCTTTTTTATACCAAACAACATAAAGGATTATCACATTTTTCTCAATCCATCACATTTTACATCCCTTCAATTCTCTTCATCATTTATACTCTCTATCTTTTATCAAACGGAGTTTAAAGGAAGGAAAAATGGATGGATTGATAATCCATGGGACCACCTTTTTAAAAGTCTCCCACAATTGGAAGGATTGAGAGGGAATGGCTCTTGCTTAATAATTAAATTACAATATTACCCATTTTTTTCTTATCTCTTAATTTTGTATCTTTTAAATAAAATTAATCTCAATTTTTATAAGTAGATTTGTTAATATAATAGCCTTTATATGTTTTGTTTATATGACTTAAATTCTTTTAAATAAAATTAATCTCAATTTTTATAAGTAGATTTGTTAATATAATAGCCTTTATATGTTTTGTTTATATGACTTAAATTGTTTTCTACTGACGCATGTCTTTAGATATATAAGATACAAGATTTAAACGTTTATTATCTATGGATTTAACTTTTTTAAGTATAAGAATTAAACATAAAATGATAATGAAACAAATTATAATTAATTATCTATGGATTAATTTTTAAAATTTTTTAAAGTTCATTACCCTTGGATTTAATTGTTTTAAGTTTATTATTTTGCATAGATGATGCAGTAATTTTATAATTGAAATTCATCCTCGGGTCTCTCTTTCTTTTCAATACCAAACCAGAGAGAAAGACAACAACAATCATTCCTTTCCTTTGTATTACACTAAACAATTTTGAAAAAAATTACACTCCATCCCTTTCTTCTCACCCTTCTTCTCTCATATTCTATCTATCATTCCACCAATCCATCTCTCCTACCAAACAGATAATTAGTAAGAGTTAATTTTTCCATATTACAAGTTAGTGCGTAATTGTTTAGAAGGAAGTTGTGCCTTTTTACCATTAAGATTTTAACGTTCTCATAGATAAATGACTAATTTAGAACAACTTATTTTATCAAGGGCTCGATCTAAGAAATTTCAGAAAAAGTCAGGGAATAAATAGGATTTTAAATTCATTAGCAAAATAGGATTTAAATTAAATTTTAATCATAATTAAAATGGACCTTTTTAAAAAAATAACCTTATACTGGACATTGTTTCGAGTCACTTGACGTCAATGTAAAAATTTAGCACTGATAGCCTCCTCTTTTAATGAAAGTTTTGCCTTCTTCAAAATGGCCCTTGTCCTATCTTCTTATTCTTCAGGAAAAACAAAAACCCTCTTCAAACCAAAACCCTCCCTCCCCACTCTTCTTGGTCGTTGGCGTTGCCCCCACTTCTGGCACCGCAGTCCATTAAGTCTGGCGTCCATCTCCACCACACTCCGGTGTTGTCTCCGATGATTGGGAGACAAATCCTAAGATTATCAAATCATTAAAGCTTGAAGATTCAATTTCTAAACTTGATAAACTAGTCTCAAAATCTATTCTTTTTGCTTTACATAGTTGTTAAAAGATTGGGTTTTCATATTTATGTATTTTATTTGAAAAACAACAAGATTCATGTCATTTTGATGTTTACTCAATCTGTAAAATTTGAAATTTGAAAGAAGAACAATAATGAATAGTAATGGGCAAACCAACATGACTGATCAAACGGGTCTGAAATTTTTTAACTAGTTCGAACGGTTTGAACGGTATTGTCGGGTTGCTCATTATTTAAATTAATAGTGATTTTATTTATTTCTAACTTTTTTGTCCTTCTCCAATAATAATATTTTTATCATCTTTATAGGAGACATAGATTGTCAATCGTTGATTTTAAATTGAGATTTCGTTATCATAATTCAATAAATATGAGTATTCGAGGCACCATTTATAATTAGACCAATTTTCTCACCGACCAAAGAACAATACAATCAGTCTTTCCAATCCGTCTAGTAGACTAGACTGCGGTACGGTCGGTTTTCTCGGTTCATAAGAAATCATTGGGATGTAAAATTTAATTTTATTTTAGATTTTACCAATGATAATTCCATGAATTTATATGAATTTGTTGGCCGAGGTAATATTATCAAATCGTTACTATTGTAATACAACATTTTCTACATTATCTATATTTATAGATGCAAATCTCATTTTAAAAAAATTAACTTCTCCATAAGACGGACTTGAACTATGATGTAGATTTGCCAATAATAATTTCTTAAATTGAGTTTTAAGTTGGAGTTCTGAATCATAATTTCACAAGTTTAGTTGACTGAGGTAATAGTGTCATGCAATTACTATAGTTGCATTATGTCAATGAAATGAGGTTGTTATTGTAACGCCCTTTAGAATTAAACATGTTTAATTATGCTAAACTGTGGATTATTAGTGTGTCTAATTTGATTTTCATAATTAATTAAGGGACTTTAAGTCATTTTCAATATTTATAATTACACCCCAAAGATTTTTGGAAAACACACTTAAATTTAATACATTTTCCTTTTTTTCATTTTTCTTTTTCTTTTTCCTTTTCTTTTCTTTTTCTTTTTCTTTTTTTTTCTTTTCTTTTCCCCCAATTCCCTTCCCGTGCGCCCAGCCCCCCCTCTCTCTCTTTCTTTCCTTTTCTTTTTTCTTTTTCTTCCCTCTCTGGTTCTCCCACGCACAGCCTCTCTCTCTCTCTCTCTCTTCCTCCATTTTCTTCCACCGCCGGCCACCTCTCTCTCCGGGCTTCCTCCCGCCGGCGTCCTCTCTCTCCCTTGCTTTCTCTTTCTGGGTTTCTCTCTCCCTCTCTCTCTCTCTCGGCAGTTTCAAAAAAAAAAAAAAAAAAAAAAACGAAAAACAGAAAAATTGAGGGAGACGAAGCTCGAGCAACTGATTTGAGGTAAAACCCTTTGAAACCCACTCTTTGATTCGGATTTTAAGCTTGAGAAAGTTTGATTTTGGTTAGATTTGAATAATTTTGAGTTAGGGTTCGAGTTTGAACAGTTATTGTTGG